TATAATATTAACGGCACCGACGCCGTTGTATCGGTATTGTTTTAAAATTCGAAAAACACTCGAGAACACTAGCGAACTTTACGGAAAATATTTCTGCCACCAGTTTAACTGTTTCCGTTTTACCCAAGCATTGTCTATTTTTCCCAGTAATTTTTTCAAAACCACGAAATATTTCTTGTTTCTTTTCCTTTAAAATGCGCTTTCTCGTGACTACTTTTGTGGAAATTGTTTCCACGCTGTATTTAAGGATTTTCTTCAAACGAAGCGTGTTGAAATTAGAAAAACATCGTTTTTTTCCAGACAATTCAGATTTGACATTTGAATTAGAAAACTAGACAGTTGATACCAATCTTTAATTTCTAGTGATCTTAAGATTGCAACTTAACCACAGAAAAATTTCTGTCAGCTACTTCTACCGAACGTGAATGCTTATTAAGTAAAACACGTACATCAAAATCTTTGCTATTTTCTCGAATACCTTCTAATGGATGACGGCGGTTTAAGGCATCAAATAAGTTGTTTACACGCTTCGTAAATTTGATGGTACTATCAACTTCCTCAAACTCTTTATACTTTTGTTTAAAATAACGTAAGCCATCTGCGACTGAATTACTGAAAATCTGAAAGGTAGATAACTATTAAAAAAATTGGTCTAAAGAGTTTAGACAGTACTTCCCTCGCTGTCGGAAACTTGACGACTGCATGCCTATTGTGTTTTTTTTTCTCATTACATTTTTGTAGTGGGAATTTAAAAAAAAATTGTGATGACGTCATCAACATTTTTGCAAGGACACGTATATCAGTTGGGATAGATGTAGTGTAATACTAAGAATAAAATTATTGTATTCCCAAATTTTCGGGAAAATGAATTGGGTCGTTTTGAATATTGATTTCTTATAATCAATAAAATAACGAAACAATTTACTCACGTATACGGCGCCGGTGTGTAATATCTAGAGAGCGGATTTCTGTCGGGCTAGGCAAGGCCAAACTCGGTACGGCTCGTACGGGATGCGAATTCATTGCGGTTGCGGACTGCACTTCGTTTATTTGAGATTAGAATAACGCTGTTTCGTTGCACTCTGCTGTTAATTCCCGTTCTCATTTACTTAGCCGTTTGATTAATAAATCGTTAATCATATTTATGGAATTAGTACTGATTAAATTCAGTGATTATCTATCACCCGCTACTGAGTCCCGGCGATCCAGCGCGTCCCCACCTATAATCGTGACGTAGCCCGACAAAAGTCCGCTGTCTAGTAATATGAAAGGCAACTGAAAATCGTTTATGTATAAACATTCTTAATTTAAGATGACAAGCGTAACAGCATACGTGAGAGTCAAACAGAGAAACTGTAAACAAAACGACCATCGGTTTTATTGCTTCGACTTCCGCTTATTATATAAAACATTGGGTTTTATTTTAATTCTTGACGGTGAAATTCACAATTGGTTGATTATAAACATGTCTATTTCACATTCGCGGAACCAAGTGAGCGCATAAAACAAATGCAGGTCTGTAATGTTAAAGTCGATGTAAATAAGCGTGCTACCCTTATGTTTCAACCGAGTTTTTCCTTTAACAAATTTTGTGTCTACCAAATTGGGTTGGTTGGGGTGTAATACTAATAATAAGTGTTGCCTTTAATTTAATCAATAAAATAAATTGACTTCATTAATTTTTTTGAACCACCTCTTAAGAAAATCTAAAAAATATGAATGGAATGATAAATCACAAGTACAAACTCATCATATTTTTTGCATTTTAGATAGGATTTACTCAGCAAAATTTTGTGGTGACGTCATACATTTTTTAGGGGGGACGACCAAACACATTTTGATCAAAAATTTACCATGCTTATGATAATTTTAAAATATCTTCAAGATTTCGAAGCATTCGGTTTTGTGGTTCCTGAGTAAATCAGTAAAATAAATTTACGCTTTCATTTATTTTCTTGAATCACCCTGTATATGCAAATCCAAAAAATTTGAATGGAGTGATAGATCACAAGTACAGACTGATCATATTTTGTACATTTTAGATATGATTTATTCGGCAAATTTTCGAGCTGACGTCATCAAGTTTTTGGAGGGGATAAGCAAATATATTTTGACTAAACATTTATTATGCTCTTTATAACCTTAAAACATCTGCAAGATGTAAGAGCATTCCGTTTTGTAGTTCCTGATTAAATCAATAAAATATATTTACGCATTCATTAATTTTTTTGAGTCACCCTGTATATGCAAATTCAAAAAATATGAATGGAGTGATAGATCACAAGTACAGACTCATCATATTTTGTACATTTTAGATATGATTTATTCGGCAAACTTTCGAGCTGACGTCATCAAGTTTTTGGAGGGGATAAGCAAATATATTTTGACTAAACATTTATTATGCTCTTTATAACCTTAAAACATCTGCAAGATTTCAAAGCATTCGGTTGTGTAGTTTCTGAGTAAATCAGTAAAATAAATTTACGCATTCATTAATTTTTTTGAGTCACCCTGTATATGCAAATTCAAAAAATATGAATGGAGTGATAGATCACAAGTACAGACTCATCATATTTTGTATATTTTAGATATGATTTATTCCACAAACTTTTGAGCTGACGTCATCAAGTTTTTGGAGGGGATAAGCAAATATTTTTTGACTAAAGATTTATGATGCTCTTTATAGCCTTAAAACATCTGCAACATTTCAAAGCATTCTGGTTAGCACATTAAAAATTAAATTTCAAAATGTTGTTTTATAATTTTGATTTTTTTTCCAAAAATCTGGACGTTTCGGGTGAAAAGTCGAATCAGAGTTGTAAACTACATGTGTAGGACTATGTTATTTTATACAATTGAAAACCCATTTACTATACAGGGTGTCCCAGAATTCGCGCCATTCCCGTGAATGACATGTTCCCTGTCCCGAACTGTGCCGTAATTCGCAAAAAGAATTGTCCAGGCTTTAACCGTGTGAGAACTGGAAGGCGATTAAGTTGACCAATAGAGAGGCTGCTTTTATATTCGAACGTTTCTATGTTCAACGTTACCTATGCCAAGAACAAAAAATCGGGTAATACTAAAGTTGAATGAATTTTTTCCGAATCCCCCTCCGTCAACAAAAGGAAACAGAAGTGTGGTTATAAATTTAATCATTTTGACAATTGTTTGTCATAAACTGTCACGAAGTTCATCACTGACCTGAAGAGATGCTTCTGCGCCAAAGATGCCTGATTAATGTACACAGAGACGTCAAGGTTTACTTTGAGGCAAGTAGCATGGGACAGAAGTTATTTCTGCTGCCATTCTAGTTAAATTGTGTTTAACTGGGCTGTACATGTCATAAGAGAAGCTGTTTCATTTCATCGTAGGCAAATAATACATTTATTACTATTCTACATAGTGTAGATACCACAGAACAGTCAATATAGAAGAAGCGCAGGCTCCATGTATTTCATTGGCAGCAGCAGTGACATTTCTCGACGGTCATGTTGCGATGTAAAAGTGTGGGAAATTCAAATAAATGCATGCTACGTGTATTGCCAGTTGCATACTCCAGCATCGTGTCATACGGATTGCCTACCACTACTTATTTGTTTTATTAATGGAAAGAAATAAAATTCATAAAATTTTACAAACGAAGTATATTAAACATTAAAAGACTAATGTACAATTCAAAAATTAACAATAAAATAAAAAAACAATTCTGTTATAAACAAAAAATTAACAAAAACACAAACCTTCCACCATAGTACTTCTAGACGTCAAATGGGAGTACCAGATCCATTCAAGGGTTTCCATTTCCTCCAGGTTATTTTAAAGTAAAAGGTACTCACATTGAGTTCATTCCAAATACTTCGAAGTACGAAGTGATGTTTTGCAATGGTGTTGCCCCTGCTTCAAGCGCAAGCCTCAGTCCTGAAACATGGTTGTTATCAAACAATCAGCACATAATTATATTTTTATTACCTTTCACATAAATTCCACGGTCACTTGCGAGAATTAAAGCCGTGAAACACATTTTATTCCAAAACATCGCACTGCATCGCACAACATTGACATATGTCAGTAAAAGACCGGGAAAAATCTGGAGCCCACAGCCACAGGCTGCATCTGCGCAGTGTGCTACTAGCCGCCCCTTGCCCCTCAAAATGCGATGCCGGCGTCCACAAGCTAAATGTCATTCTTGTTGCCTATTCGGCAATACAACCTTCACCCCCGTGGTAGATACCAAAGAGCAGGTATTAGAAGTCATTTTCTTAGAGCCCCGTGAATAATGTGTTGTTCTTTTTAACGAAAATCAGTACATTTTCAGAATTCACTATGCATCATATGCCTGATATTAAGTTTATCGTTATTTCTAAAAAAGAGTACCACATGTCCATTCAAAGAACGTTATTAAGTGTACTAAAACATAAATATCGCCTTTGATTAATCGGTGCTTATGATTTTCAATAAACAGTATCAATTTTTACTGAACAGCTTAGTTGCTGATACCTAATCTAAGCAACGAAAAAAGAGACGAGACTCCACTTCTCTGGTGTGTTAAGATCATAGGTATCTGCTGTGGTGTCAATCATGCGGGGGAGATACTGAAAACTGAGACTTATTCAAGAATAATATTGATGCTGCACATGATGATTTAAAACAGTTTCTTTAAAGTTGTGAGTACTTTCTAGAGATTGAAAAGATACGAATAAAAATTATAACAAAAATCGTTTAGTTGCATTTTTTTTAAGAACAATACAAACTATAAACAAATCAGTACCAATACCACTAAGTTATTGATGTCTTATTCATACTAGTATAAAGAATATTTGGAAATGATGTTAATTTATTTACTATTGACGAAAGTGCAGCATCTGCGACGAGCCGACTGCGCGACGGGTGCATGTTGCTAAATGGTTACTGCGACAAAATGAACTAATAAATCCTGATTTTTCACGGCATATTCTTTTCGCCGACGAATGTTGATTTTCCCGAAAAAGACTATTTAATGCGCACAATTAGCACTTCTGGGCAAACGAAAATCCACATTTCGCTAACTTGAGAGCATATCAAGAGCAATACTATTAATCTATGGGCTGGAATCGTTGTACTGTAACGTTACGAGTATTAAACAATGTGCTCAAAATGACCACCATTAACTTCAATGCAAGTTCTAGCTCGTCGAATTATGTTGTGTTGTGTATTATTTAACATCTCAGGAGTAACTGTAGCGTAGGTTTCGTGCAGTCTCTCTTCCAGTTCTTCTAACGTATCTAGGGGTTTTCTACGAGTATATACGTAATTTTTAATTTGATTCCAAAAAAAAAGTCCAAAGGAGAAAGGTCTGGAGATCTAGGAGGCCAGATGTTAGTACTGCTACGCCCAATCCACCTATGAGGATACTCTTTTCAATGTTCGCCGTACAAGTATCGAATTATGTGGAGGAGCGTCGTCGTGCTGAAACCACATATTCCGCCGTACATTCAAAGGAACGTCTTCCAACAACGCCGGAAGCTCTAGTCGTAGAAAATTAGCATATGCCTCCCCATTAAGGCGATCAGGTAACACAAACGGCCCCACCTAAAAAAACAGGAACGGAGTTTAGTGATAATTTTATCAATGCATTAAAATTTTTACCACAGTAGTACCAATGATTCCAGCCCATAGATTAATAGTAAATCGCTCCTGATATGCTGTCACCCTAGTGAGATGTGGATTTTCGTGTGCCCAGAATTGCCAATTGTGTGCATTAAACATTCCTTCTCGGGAAAATGAGCATTCGTCGTTGAAAAGAATGCGCCGTGAAAAATCAGGATTTAGTTCATTTTGTCGCAGTAACCATTGAGCAAAATGTACTCGTCGCGGGTAGTCGGTTGGTCGCAGATGCTGCACTCTCGTGTAATGGTAAGGATACAGTCTTCTCTCTTGAAGGATACGATGAGTGGTCGATCTTGGGCATCCACTCATTTGCGCTACGTAGAGGACACTTCTCCTAGGATCCGCTTCCATGTTTTCTAACACTTGCTCTTCAGCACCTACACGTACATTCCGTGGAGCTCCAGCACGGCCTTTCCGATTAGGTTGAAAAGATCCATCTTCTCTTGCTCGATGTAACAATCGGTGAAACACATGTTGGTCTGGGTGCCGACGATTATTCACGGGGCTCTAAGAAAATGACTTCTAATACCTGCTCTTCGGTAGCTACTCTATGTAGAATAGTAATAAATGTATTATTTTTTGCCTACGATGAAATGAAACAGCTTCTCTTATAACATGTACAGCCCAGTTAAACACAATTTAACTAGAATGGCAGCAGAAATAACTTCTGTCCCATGCTACTTACCTTAAAGTAAACCTTGATGTCTCTGTGTACATTAATCAGTCATCTTTGGCGCAGAAGCATCTCTTCAGGTCAGTGATGAACTTCATGACAGTTTATGACAAACAATTGTCAAAACGATTAAATTTATAACCACACTTCTGTTTCCTTTTGTTGACGGAGGGGGATTCGGAAAAAAATTCATTCAACTTTAGTATTACCCGATTTTTTGTTCTTGGCATAGGTAACTTTGAACATAGAAACGTTCGGATATAAAAGCAGCCTCTCTATTGGTCAACTTAATGGCCTTCCAGTTCTCACACGGTTAAAGCCTGGACAATTCTTTTTGCGAATTACGGCACAGTTCGGGACAGGGAACATCTCATTCACGGGAATGGCGCGAATTCTGGGACACCCTGTATACAATTTTGAAGTGACGTCGTCGCATTAGTGGTGGGGATGATTAGACAAATTTTGGTTAGCGTTTTACCATCTACATGATATTCTTAATATAAGTACACAATTTCACAACAATCGGTCGAGTACTTTCGGAGATTATCTGTCTAATAAAAATCCGGGACGGCAGACGGACAGACGGACAGACGGACGGACAGACGGACGGACAGACGGACAGACAGACGGAAATGGGACACCTATTTCTTCGTCTTCTAGGGGTCATGAAAGATCGAGAAAACGTAAAAGTAGAGAGTCGGCCGACGGACTCGATTACAATACTTCCTTTGCTTACGCTCGGGAAGTAATTAATCAATTTTGGAAAAAATGGAGGATTTGGATGAAAGTAGTGCTTCAGATAATAATTGTACCCCTCCAGACGTTTTAGAAGTAGCAAGTTTATAAATTTATAAACGTCATTTTTGACAAAAATGCACTTTAGCTTCCGGCAGGAGCCAAAATAGTTTACCTCCCGCCGGGAGGTAAAGTGACACTTTGTGCCCTGAAATGAGGAAAGAAAATCACATTTTCTATATAGTGAATAGAAAAAATATTTTTTTCACTAGCAGCCATAAAGCATGCAAATGTCGACTCATTTCGAGGTAGCAAATTCAACTTTTGCGACCACGGGTTCAAAAAGAAAATTGAGGTTATGTACGCAATACTTGATGTGATTATTTCTTAAAAAATGAATAAATGTGTGCTACTAACATTACTTGAGTATACGCATGGTGGTTGTAGACGGTAGAAGATAAAATGATTAATTCAGCGACAAGTGTAAACGGTTTTCTTTGTGTTGAAGATTTATATTAAGTTTGATTAGAAATCAAAACAAAATCATGTTGACTCAAAAAATTGAACGTTTATTTTTTTTCAATTTATTGTCTTATGGTTTCTACTAGTGAAAAAAATAGTATATTAACCACGGTTGCAGAGCCACTTCTAGACCTCGCGCTTCAGAGCCCTCGACGCTGCGCGTCTCGGGTTCTAATTTGCGCTCGGCCTAGAATGCTTGGCTTTGCAACCTTGGCTAATAATATACTATTATTTTTCACTCGTATATAATGTTTGTTTTATATCCATGATGTGATAAACGTAAAGCGGCATTTTATATCCGGGACACAATGAGCGGGCATAAAGAATTATTGTGCCGTCTCATTATGCTCTATTTTGCTAAACCGAATTAAACAAAAAATTCAAAATGTATTCTTTATTTTTATCCACTTATTTATTTTTTGACAATTAATGGAGATACAAATTACAACTTACAAACGTGCTATTCGTACCAAACTTTCCAGCTAAACTTAAACCTTTCGCAGGTTCCTCTATTGGAATTATTTCTGCCTCTGCTTCCATTCTGCTAGCACCGAATAAAGTATTATAAGTATAAAAAATTGGTCTAAAGAGTTTAGACAGTACTTCCCTCGCTGTCGGGAATGTGCCGACTACATGCCTATTATGTTTTTTTTTCGCAGTGGATTTCAAAGAATTCGGTTTTGTAGTTCCTGAGTAAATCAATAAAATAAATTTACGCATTCATTATTTTTTTAGTCACCCTGTATATGCCAATACAAAAAATATTAATGGAGTGATAGATCACAAGTACAGACTCATTATATTTTGTACATTTTAGATATGATTTATTCGGCAAACTTTTGAGCTGACGTCATCAAGTTTTTGGAGGGAATAAGCAAATATATTTTGACTAAACATTTATTATGCTCTTTATAACCTTAAAACACCTGCAAAATTTCAAAGCATTTGGTTTTGTAGTTCCTGATTAAATCAATAAAATAAATTTACGCATTCATTAATTTTTTTGAGTCACCCTGTATATGGAAATTCAAAAAATATGAATGGAGTGATAAATCACAAGTACAGACTCATCATATTTTGCACAGTTTAGATAGGATTTATTCGGCAAACTTTCGAGCTGACGTCATCAATTTTTTGGAGGGGATAAGCAAATATCTTTTGACTAAACATTTATTATGCTCTTTATAACCTTAAAACATCTGCAAGATTTCAAAGCATTCGGTTTTGTAGTTCCTGATTAAATCAATAAAATAAATTGACGCATTCATTAATTTTTTTGAGTCACCCTGTATATGCAAATCGAAAAAATTTGAATGGAATGATAAATCACAACAAGAGACTCACCATATTTTGTACATTTTAGATAGGATTTATTCAGCAAAATTTTGTGGTGACGTCATAAATTTTTTAGGAGGGGACGACCAAATACATTTTGATCAAAAATTTACCATGCGTATGACAATTTTAAAACATCTTCAAGATTTCAAAGCATTCAGTTTTGTAGTTCCTGAGTAAATCAGTAAAATAAATTTTGCGCATTCATTAATTTTTTTGAGTCACCCTGTATATGCAAATCCAAAAAATATGAATGGAGTGATATATGATGAGTCTGTACTTGTGATTTATCACTTCATTCATATTTTTTAGACTTTCTTAAGAGGTGGCTCAAAAAAATTAATGAAGTCAATTTATTTTATTGATTAAATTAAAGGCAACACTTATTATTAGTATTACATTGGACCAATCCAATTTGGTAGACACAAAATTTTTTAAATTAAAAACTCGGTTGAAACATAAGGGTAGCACGCTTATTTACATCGACTTTAACATTACAGACGTGTGCGCTGTCTAGGTTCCGCGAATGTGGAATAGACATGTTTATAATCAACCAATTGTGAATTCCACCGTCAAAAATTAAAATAAAACTCAATGTTTTATATAATAAGCGGAAGTCGAAGCAATAAAACCGATGGTCGTTTTGTTTACAGTTTCTCTGTTTGACTCTCACGTATACTGTTACGCTTGTCATCTTAAATTAAGAATGTTTATACACAAACGATTTTCAGTTGCCTCTCATATTACTAGACAGCGGATTTCTGTCGGGCTACGTCACGATTATAGGTGGGGACGCGCTGGATCGCCGGGACTCAATAGCGGGTGATAGATAATCACTGAATTTAATCGGTACTAATTCCATAAATATAATTAACGATTTATTAATCAAACGGCTAAGTAAATGAGAACGGGAATTAACAGCAAAGTGCAACGAAACAGCGTTATTCTAATCTCAAATAAACGAAGTGCAGTCCGTAACCGCAATGAATTCGCATCCCGTACGAGCCGTACCGAGTTTGGCCTTGCCTAGCCCGACAGAAATCCGCTCTCTACATATTACACACCGGCGCCGTATACGTGAGTAAATTGTTTCGTTATTTTATTGATTATAACAAATCAATATTCAAAACGACCCAATTCATTTTCCCGAAAATTTGGGAATACAATAATTTTATTCTTAGTATTACACTACATCTATACCAACTGATATACGTGTCCTTGCAAAAATGTTGATTACGTCATCGCAATTTTTTTTAAATTCCCACTACAAAAATGTAATGAGAAAAAAATACAATAGGCATGCAGTCGTCAAGTTTCCGACAGCGAGGGAAGTACTGTCTAAACTCTTTAGACCAATTTTTTTTTTAGATTTTCGTGTGAAAAATAAAAGTTTGTATGCACCGCGGGCACAAATTGATGTATATAAATCTCGGGCAACTTACAAAATCTCGAGCCAGAGGCCCTCAATTTTGTAAACGTTGCCCTCGAATATAACATCTTCTTTGTGCCCTTGGTACATAAATAACTATTATGTCCGATTGCTCTATAATAAACGTTACTTTATTTTATAATTTAGCGGCCGTAATGTGATACTTTATGGTACTAGTACAATAAAGACGACAACTTGTTTTTATTAAAGTTTTTGTGAATACAATTAAACTTACTAACTAAAATAATCTAGGCTTGATCGCAATGTTTAATATTTACAACATAACTATTACCAGAAAACGTATATTGGGTATTTTCCTCGTCGCATTTCGCTACTTTTGCTTCTATTACTGCTTCTGGTTTTCCACAACTGAACATATCTTCAGCAACATCTTTGTCCGAAAGATTTTTGGCTAGAATTTTTTCCGCAACGTTAATTTTAGCAGTTTCACAGTCATCAACATACCCCTCCGCTACAGTTAATGAACCCCAGCCCCTATGTCTTTTTATACCCTCCATGTTGCATCCGACAGTTGCTAAAATTGTGGCTGAACTTCGCCTGAAGCAATGGCCTGTATATGAAGAAGCATTTTCTAGACCCAAATATTTGGCCGCCACAGCTGGCACATTACCAATCTTGTGAATTCCGACGGCTTGCACAGTACACTTCTCTTTAACATAATTGATAAAAAATTTCTGATGTGGTGTTTTGATAGTTCGAAGTGCCATATAAGCTCGCACAAGTTCAACTAGATTAATATTTTCCATATTTCCAGGTACTATAACAAAATGACGATCTGTTTTGGTTTTCGTGTCTTGAAGGTTGACTAAAATGTGCGTTTTACAATCTTTGACACATGTTGTCAATAATGTGACTAATTCTTGACGTCTGCATGCACCTGCTACACCAAATATGATGACAACCTGTAAAACTAATTATGCTTTTAGTACATTCAAACATAATGAAT